AATAAACCATTAAGTGAGTTATGGGTTGTTCTCAAATTGTTCTACAGCTTAATGTACTGGTGTGAAGTGGGTTCAATGCACAAGATTGAAGTCGCAAACATGGATGGAGATGATAGACATGTACTGGTTAGAAGAGGACTGCATTATCCAAACGGCCTTACACTAGATGACATAAACAATAGGCTTTACTGGGTGGATTCATTGTTGAATACCTTAGAATACTACGACTTGGCACGTCATACAATAACAACTTTGTTAGACCGAAATTCTGTCTTGTCATATCCGTTCGGTTTGACGTCAACTGATGATCACTTATACTGGACCGATTGGAACAGGGACGCAGTTTATCAGGCTGACAAGGAAACAGCTTTAAATACAACGGTTCTCGTCAGTGGTTTAAGCCAACCTATGGATATACATGCATATGACAGAAATCAAACTCTTCCAGGTATAAAAACTTAAACCTCAAAACTTTTATCAGCTCGGTTTAAAATAGTAAGCAACAATAGCAGCACTTTTACACTGAAGGTGAAAAACCAATTTGGACGTGAACCTATATTTTCACTTTTTAATTTACTTTTCCCACACGATTATTTATTATCACTTTAAATCTCTTTGCAACAACCAGAAAAGGCATATGTAGGAAGTGCAGCGTTAGTAGAGCTGCTTTTTGTTCGAAACTTTAAAACAAAAAAGGATCGTCTTCAATCCGGAATCACATTAAAGAGCAACATGGAACGGTCCCAAGTGACATATATCGTGATTTTAAGATCTTGAGAGAGTGCCAAAGTAAATTCGACTGCCTAATCTACGAAATGTTCTTTATAAAGGAGCTTAAACCAAATTTGAACAAACAGTCAGATTCAATCCGTGCAAAGTTATTTATATAGTTTTTTTTTTATAGTATTTTATAATTTTAACACTTACATTTTAGCACTTGTATTTACATATTTTATGGTTGGACATTCTCACGCCCTAATTTGTACTTATATATGTATATTTCATTCGCGTTTTCGACAACTTGAAAATGATCTCAGAGAGATCAAAACGTCATTTTTTATCGCTAGTTTTTATTCTGAAATGTGTTTCAAAAAAACTACTTATATTTATATTGTGTTTGTAAATTTACAAATTAAAAACAAACAAACGAACAAAAAAAATAACCAGAAAAGGCTATGATACTGCAGTTCAAAGAGCTTTGATCAGTTTAACAGTCAATTTGATTCCTAATTTTGATTAAGTTTTCCTGTTTCGTTAAAGCACGGGCAAAGCAAAAGAGAAAGCAAACTTCGATATGATTATAATACATATGCGACGCCCGGCCAACAAGCTTTCATTGAGGGTACATGGCCCAACTACAATAACACATTAGTTGAAGCATAGTAAATTTGCAGTAAATCATGCGATTACATTATATTACCTGTCACAATGTCCTGAACACGTCAATGAGAGTCTACTCAGGAGTCTCCTGAGCCCAGCTAATTATCTCTTCCACTTTAGATCATCCTTGTGCCTTGTCCCATGGTGGTTGTTCGCATCTGTGCCTTCTACGACCACAAGGATATCGTTGCTCCTGTCCAGGTAACCTATCTCTGTCCGAAGATGGAAAGACTTGTGTTCATTCATCCGGTAAGTCAGGATAATCACTGTCCATGACTATTCAATTTTGGAGCTAATTACGACAATTCAATGTCATGAAGAATGATATAAATGCTAAGTAACCGAGAGCAATTGCCAAAACGGCAAGCTTTGGATACGGTCGCTCAGCCTAGCTTACCTCTGAATGCGTTCCATAATTAGTTTGTCTGCGCTCTGGAGTTTCCTTCAGCTAAATGATTAACAAAATTCAGTATTTGCTTTTCTTGGGTGCAATGCCGCTGGTAATATTTCAAAAGTTAGTGACATTTTGAAATATCACTGGCAGTATCTATCGTTAACTACACCAAAAGCCAGGGCCGGGTTGTTCCAAAACCGGTTAACACTAAACCAGGATTTAAAATTAACCGAAGAATTACTTTTTCTTGAACAAATATGTTTTTCACTGTTTATGTTTGTGAAGTTTGAGATTATTCTAACTCAAAACTGAAGGACAAACAGTATAAACAGAAAAACTCGCACGTCGTGGAAAGTTTTAGAAGTCGTTCAACAATCGAGGATAAATCATAAGTAGCCAACAACACTATAGAAATCATGCACAGCTATAAAAGTTTACGATATACCTTCAATAACTCCGTCATGAAAACTGATCGACCAGTATTGTTTCTTTGGGCCCATGTTTACAGCGTGCGATTTCCTCGGCTTCGTTGAATCTTTTCTTTCTAAAACTCTCCTCTCGCTGGATGGAACAAGCAACTACGACATTCGATGAGGAAAACCACCTCATGTACTAAGAAGACAAAGTCACCCGTCACGTCTGGACCTCCATTTTTCTGGCCAATCAGCGGGAAAAAAATCAAACGCTTCTGGAACTAGTTCAGTGAGAGAAAGCACCCAGGGGCTTCCAGCTCTTAATGTGAAATTTCGTCCTAAAATATCGCGTCTTCTGGACTAGCTGCCCCTGGGTCTTCGAGGACGCAATATGAAAAATTTGTGCCAAAACTTGTCCCAATGGTGGAACCTGGGATTCTTCAAACTCTTTCTTGTAATTTCTAGGATATTAAATCACTAATTGTTTGGGGGAAAAACAAGTATTTTTACAGAGGCGTATACCTATTAACAGCAGTAAGAATAATGCCCTACCCTACCCTACCCTGCCATACCGTTATCCCATATGATACAATACAATACAATACAATACAACACAATACAATACAATACTTAACAAATAGATTCCATGTTGCCGTGCGTCTGTTCAGTAATAGATCACAGATGACGTCAAAATGTGGTAAGAACAAAAAAGTGGCACACGAGGCGATAGCCGAGTGTGTCACTGATGTTCTTACCTCATTTTGACGTCTTCTCTGATCTATTACTGAACAGACGCACCGCAACATTGAATCTATTTGTTTTATATAATAACGAAACAAACTAGTACAGATAAAGCTTCTTTTAATTCAAAATCTTCCAACATAACTCGAAAGCCAGCCTTTGCCCACTTTGGCGAACGCGAAAAAAAAAAACATTTGACGTAATCTATTGTCTATACAAAATGAAGCAATCTCATTGGTTGCTATTCACAGCAAAGAATTGTGATTGGTCCAGGAAAATCACGCCACTGTCAAACTTGACTCGAGCGTCGCGTCTAGTGAAATGGAAACTTACAGCGAAAGCAGAATTAAGCTGCGAAATCTACAAATCTTAAAGAAAATGTTGAAAAGTCAAGTCGGTTTTTGTCATCAGAGCGGCCCTGTGAGCCGAAAAGCTTGGATGTTGCCTTGAATATTGCAGGAGTTGGAAAAATACGCTCGGAAAACTTGCGGTTTTGGTTAACCTGGAGGCCATTCGATTCGAGTTTTGAATGAAAGAAGCGTTAGTGATGGTGGAAATTTGAGTCCTCGGTGATTGGTGATTCTCAAATCAGTTTGAAATAAAGTCGGAGACACCTTTTAGCTACAATACAGTTGGCCGTGAGCTGTAGTGAGCTATACTTTGCTCGCTGCTGTGCCCTGAAACGGACTGGAACATTCGCATCGGAAAGCAAGGTTATGTGTTTATTTTAACTGATTTTGAGAAGTGATTTTGATGTTTCATTCCTGACATTAATCAGTGTGTCAACAATTATTTTGAGACTGAGAAAAGTTGAATTTTGTCAATAAATTAATGTCATAAACATTTTGTTTATTGGGTTTGTTAAATTCGAGATAAAGCAATGGTTCTCAGCTTACCAAGAACAATTTTGCGTTTAGTTTAGTCTCGCTCGACTGTCGACTGAGACAGCTCGAGTATTTTTTCTGAGCCATTTTCTAAAAAAGAAACGGCTTTATCTTTCTCCTTCCTGCTAGACTATGCTTCTCGTACCTGCTCAATGCCTCGACAAGACTTTTTTGCGCCTTATCTTTTGCCCAGTCATGTGAAACATTATCTAAATTCTCAAAACTTTCCGCCATTTCAAAACACAGAGGGAAAAACTTTGTAATGATGCCGTCAATCGTGCGTCTGTCCTCTAATAGATCATAGGCGAGAACCAATCAAAATGCGAGAATAACTTGGGTTGTTATATAAAATACAATACAATGCAATGCAATACAACACAACACAACACAACACATCACAACACAACACAACGCAACGCAACGCAACGCAACGCAGCGCAATGCAATGCAATACAATACAACAAAAAAACGGTGAGGGTTATAAGTTACAAATTTGTGGGGTCGTGGAGAAAGATAATTTAAAAAGATAAGTAATCTGCGTATATGCAAAGTTGATTCTGTGATAGAGGTTTGCATTTTTACTTTTTAAGATTTCCAGAAATTCATACTGTTCGCCCATGGCTATTACAGTCAAGCAGGAATATTTCTTCTCTCTTTGGATAATTTCAACTCGGAGGCCATACCTGTACCAATAGAGCTAGACATAGATCGGCCGGTTGCACTTGATCTGGACATTACAGAAAATAGAATTTACTGGACAGACACGTACCTGAACACAATCTCGAGGGTGTTTATCAATGGATCATCTCCTGAGGTTATCATTTCCGACAATGTTTATGACTCAAACGGACTTGCTGTTGATCCACTGGGCAGAAATATCTACTGGACCGACACTTCTGCAAACAAGATTGAGGTCAGTAGAATGGATGGAACAATGAGGAAGACACTGATACACCAGGACCTGGATTACCCATCGGATATAATACTTGATCTCAGGAAAGGGTAAATATAAGATCTTAGCAATCCTCTTTTTCCATACTTTTGAGAAATAATCATAAATAATAATAATGATCACAATAATATAAACATACTTAATCAGGATAAACCCGTCAGCAAATGCTTCTATCAAAGGGTGCCCTGGGAAACTAAAAATGTAAATGAAATACCGGTAGCAATAAAAATCCTAAAAAGAAGACATATGTAGAAAAAGAAAAAGCTATATACAATATGAAGTAAAAGATAAAAATTATATACAATTATTAAAAGTGATAACAACTTTCACAGGCATTTTGCACGACTTTCAAGAACGAGAAGAGCGAAGTGCATCAGTTATGTATTAGCTCTATCGTAAAAACCTTCCGAGGAATGAAAAATTTATCTGAGATCAGTCTGCAAATTAATAAGGCGCGAGGTTCCCTCAACAAGAAAAGATAGCGTTGTGTTGTAAAATTTGGACCACTATATTACTGAGGACAAAATTCGGGGGACGCACGGTACTCATTTGTAACTTAGTTTCTGCATTCCCGATGAGGGAATGTTTTGCATTCCTATAAGCCTCACCCACACTTCTGGGAGCTCGTGGGCTACTGTTGTTGTTATGCAGCTGTTTTTCCATAATTTATTACTGCAGCGATAAAATTATTGTCAAATTTATCGGCGCGGTGGCCTCATGGTTAGTGCGCTCGTCTCCGGATTGATGAGCGGTCCGGGTTCGAGCCCAGGGGCCCGTAATTCGAAGGTCCCGAAAAGTTTTCCCACCCGAAAAGCCGTAGCAAAATCTCAAACCTTTTGACTACAGAGCTGTTTTATTCATATATTCTTAATACGAGCAGAGGTTCTCTTCATACAAGAAGTTTCAGGTGTATACACCTCTCTGTTTTTAAATACCGATTAACTAAGAATGGCTTTTCGGGCCCCAAAAGATTCCGGGGCTTTCGAGAAACGGGCTCCTGGCCGGGGACAGTGTGCTGTGTCCCTGGACAAGACACCTTACCATCACAGTGCCTCTCTCCACCCAGGTGTGTAAATGGGTACTGGCGAACTTAATGTAGGGGGCACCCTGCAATGGACTGGCATCCCACCCAAGGGGGGAGTAGAAATACTCCTAGTCGTTTCGTTCTACAGAAACCGGGATAAGCTCCGACCTGATGGGCTACTTGGCTTGTATGCAGAGTTTACCTACTTTATCTTAAATGTTAAACGTTTACACATTTTTGGTAAATATTTCAATTGCTATATGATTGTAAATTATCCCTACACATCTCTGTAAATTGATCAACTGATGTGAGCAGATGGTGTAGAGTACAAGAATGAAGTCGCCAACATGGATGTCGATAATAGGCGAGAAAACTACTATTTATTTTGCCTAGGAAATTTTTCGTTACATTTTAATTTTTCCAAAATCCATTTTATAGGTTGATGTACTGGTGTAACCGGGGCGTCGACCACAAGATTGAAGTCGCTAACATGGATGGAGATGATAGAAGGGTTCTGGTCAGAAGAGGCTTGTACTATCCAAACGGCCTTACGCTAGATGATAAAAACAAGAGGCTTTACTGGGTTGACTCATCTTTCGATAGCTTGGAATACTACGACTTACAACATCATACAATAACAACTTTGTTAGACCGTGATTCTATCTTGTCATATCCATTTGGTTTGACCTCCCTTGATGATTATTTATACTGGACAGATTGGTATAGATATGCAGTTTATCAGGCGGACAAGAGCACAGCTTCAAATTCAAAGATTCTTGTCAGCGGTTTGAGTCAGCCCATGGATATACACGCATATGACAGAAATAAAACTCTCCCAGGTAAGATCACTCGCCCGTGGCCTAAATTCTTTTTGTATCAATTCAGAAGATATATATCAAAGTTATTATTTTCTTCGGGCTATTTCCTAAAACTCGATAGAAACAAAGAACCAGCACGAGCTGTTGACTTAGTGATCACGTGAGCAAAGACAACTTAAGCCCCGGCCAAACGATCGCAACATTTAAACACAGCATATCGCAACATTTTGGGCGTTTTTGGCCACCGTGTTGCGACGTGTTGCGACGTGTTGCGACATATTGGGTGTTGTGGACTCAAGTTCGAAAATGATTAATTTTTTTCATACATTTTTGGTTGCTGCATGATGCTGTACTCGTGTGGCCAGGTTCGTGCAACAAAGTTTCCCCGGGGCATGCGTTCCAGTTCGATTTGCAACACCCAACATGTCGCAGCACGTCGCAACAAGGTGGCCAAACGCTCGCAACATCATACGTCCAACAATGTTGCGATCGTTTGGCCGGGGCTATACATTGTGATGATCAAGGTAAACAAGTTGCTTTCTTTTATTCATTGCTTTCTTTTATTCTCTTTGCTTAATCGCGTCCCTGGTTGCTGGTTCTCCTCTGAAAGTTAACTCACATTTGAAATTTTGAAATTTTCAAATTGAACGTCAATTAAAATATTCTTCTAGGGTCCGACTAATATGTACCCCGGGATGGCAGTTCTCAACATGGTTAACATTTGCTCGGTTAAATTGACAGGTAAATCGTCAGGAAAAAAAAAAGAACATTTTAGCGCTACCCTTCTCACTTGCTGTTCTTGTGTTATCATGCAGACAAAAATAACGCGAGTAGCTTGGCAAATAAAGTTGCAGAAGTTTCTTTGGAAAATCATGGGCACGCTTTACATGTGAATTAGTATATGTTTTAATAATTGGCCGCTTTGTTGTCCAACGTAAGCCTCCTTTTCATTTTAATAATCTTCTCTACCATCGTCAGATCATCCTTGTTCCTCTTTTAACGGGAGCTGCTCGCATCTTTGTCTTCTAAGACCAGATGGATATCGCTGCTCCTGCCCAGATAACCTACAGTCTGGTGAAGTTTGCATATCTTCAGGCAAGTGCGAAAAAATTGTGAATCTTTTGTGTAAATTATTTCGTGTAGAATTTTGTAAGTTCACTGTAAATATTCTACTTAAAGATTTATTTCGTAAGAACAATATCCTTTTCAGCCTTAATTTATTTTAATTTAAATGATACAATCTAATAAAATTTTACCAGGCCGAAAAACTGAACGAACAATTTCTTATCTTGGCTGACTTTATTGCAATCACCTAATCTTTGACTATTTATAGTTGGTTCAACATTTCAGCAGTGGGATTTTTTTGTGCACTATAATGACTTTCCACTCTTCCAGTGAGCATATAATTTCTTTCTTTTTGTAGCTGTAACTTTACCCTCATCGTCGACTCCAGTAAAGACAGGGTCTAACTCCAACCACCGTTCTCAGAGTGTGGATGTTATCTCGAGCTCCTCTGCACTGAACAGGGCACTTCCATCTGTTAGTACCTCGTCCTCACACATGGAAACTCCTTTATTTTCAACGCTTCCATGTACTATTTTCAAGACCTTGATCATTTCTTCTACGGCACCAAGTTTAGCCTGCGATTGTCCAAAGTGCTCTACACCTCCCAAGACCGAACAGCAAACCACTACTATTTCATCAACACTGCCATCTTCTTCCATCAAGACCTCTGCCTTGTCTTCATCAAAATCGAGTTCAATTCACCAAACACCGACCCAGAGTGAGCAACAAACCACAGCTCCATCAACATGTGAGCCTCCAACATCCACCGGTACTACTTGTCTTCCCGGTACTTGCAAAAACGGAGGGACTTGTGTTTTACCTGGAAATTACTGCAAATGTGAAAAGATTTTCACTTGGGATGACTGCAGTGTTTATATTGGTAAGTGGAAGTTTATTATGGAGGGCTCTCAGTTTAAGATTAATACATTTATTTCGCAACCGTCTAAGTACAAGGATTTTATAGCTTTTAGTGGTCGATCTCTTTGTAAGGATTTTCACCGGTAGTATCACTCTTTTCCCCTTCCAGTTTGACCATGTCAAACCGGAGGTCTTCTCACCTAATTTAAGTCTATCTTACTAAATTCGATTCCGAGAAAAATGATCGCAACTTAACAGCAAAGTGGTTGTTTTCTAGACCTAGGGCAAGATTCTACATCTGTCAAATCCTCATTGTATTGGTAAGGAGTATTTTAATAGACGGAGTAGTTCCCTATTACATGCTGCACTATTATTTTGATTTTTGCTGTTTTACCTCTAAGGATCGAGCACTGTGGAAATTAAGTTGGAGGTCTCTGAGGAGGTATGATGTGCTTCATTCATTGTTTACTTCCCGTTTTTCTCGTAAATCTGTCGCTAGAAGAAGACAATGTCCCACCATTTTTTTCCTTTTAACGGAAGTCTCAACTAGTTATAGCAACTAGTTATAGCAAATAAAGTGATTGGATTCGAATTCGTGAGTGTTCCCTTATAGTGATTGTATCGCTTACAGTGCGACTACTCTAACCAAGGCCGCCCGGCAAAATTTTCTACAGATTCAACGAAATAAAAATCGTGAAGGTTAGCAGTAGTTTTCCAACAAGTTACCGATGTAATCAAACTGTACATTACAAAGGCAACATATTTGTTGTCGTTTTCATTAGTAACTATATTAAAACTTTTAAAATGCCAGTGGTCAATTTGCAAAGAATTTGATTAAGTGGCCTTAGTCGGAATAGTCCCACTGTAATATCTTTTGATTGAAAATTTATATTTTGATGTTCTCCTTCACTTTATCATTGACCGTCTTCTCTCAACGGCGGCACTATGAAACAATGTCGGACGTTTCGCAATGGGATCTGTTATATTATGAAATATGAGGTAAAAATGATTCCAATCCCACTGACTAGTTACATTTTCTTTCTCCGGATTTTATACTTTTAAGCCTAGTTTAGACGCCGCACTTCACATGATCCGAGTCGAATCGAATTTAGGCCAACCCAAATTAATTTAGATCGACTGAATTGATTCAGACGCCGATCTCAATTCCAGCTGAACTAAATTCAATAGAAGATAAAAGTGCATTTCGATCAGCGCTGATACGTGCTGAACTCCCGTAAACAATTAGTAAACAACAACCAAGCGCGATCCAAAGCCTTCATGTTAAAAATATAAGAAAATTCGGCAAAAAGGAGCAGAATGAGGCAAACTGCATAAATCTATTTACATGTAACTGCAAGAAAACAACTGATAAATTGGTTCAGATGTCGTACTTCATATGAACTTAATTTCAACATATAATTTCAACTTCCAACCTATTTGTATGCTACGAAATACAACGTAACTTGAGCAAAAAGCCCAACTGCAATATTTAGGTTAATTCACAAACTGTTCACACGTAATTCAAACATAAACACGAAAACTAGGATGAGTGCACATTAATTTTGATGCAGTTTACCAAGGTGGAGCAGGTTTGCNAATAGGCGTATTTCCGAGAGTGCAACTTTTCATTCACTCGCAATTTTTTCACTTATTACGCATGCGCTGCATTTAACTGGGTTCTTTCGGTGACAACGAACAAGCTGAGAATTGTGGGTTCTTTACATCGTTACCTTATGTAACATATCTTTTTAATAAGAGACTAACGTCATCAATACACTGCGTTCAATTATAGAGAAAAATAGCACAGATAGTGCGTGCGTTGAGTAAATAAAATGATCGCTCTATTGACGGAAAATTGTTTTTTGCAATCCTTGTGCGCGCGCTAAATTGCATCAGCAAAAGCGCGCGCAGAAACTGTGTTCAGTAACCTTAATTCACTGGATTCGATTGGTATCATGCGAAGTATGGCGTCTGAACCGGGCGTTACAAGACTAATCAGTAATACAAAACTAGTCTGGTAGACTGACAGTTTATTACCTTTGGCCTTACAGGGTCAGTGGAATTCGTTGGACTTCAAAATTGCAATAGCAACAGCCTGTTCAGAATTCTTTTGCAAAGATGGTGACTGCTCAAGGTAACAGTAATGAATCAGAAAGGCAATATATAGATATAGCCAAGCCTAAAAAGCGGAGCTCCCATAAAATACTTATCATTTTAACACTCAACGCAATAACCTTTATTCACCAATAAGCATTTAACCAAACCGAATAAGTTGAACAAACAAAACAAGGAAATCTCCATAAACAGTACGCAAAGAAATGCATTTAGAAGGGATTGATAACTGCTTTTCACTCATTGTTACAGTTTGTGAGAGTCGTAACGAAACCCGGCGTAACAAAAGAAGAAATTGTGGCAGTCTACGAAGCAGCTTATTAGCACAAAGAAAACTACAAAATTTGGCTTGGCAGTATTTACAAATACGGTTCTATCATTTTTATCATTAGTTATCGGCGTAAAAGTCTGACACAAAACTATTTGTTTACAACAACTTCGACAAAGCAAGTCGGGTGTTATTGTTTAGTGGGTAGCGAAATTGAAACGATGACATTTATAGAATGTTTTAATAACACGGTTTCAAATCAGTAAGACTTTACAACTCCTTTTGAAGCTATATTTCGCCAAAGCCGCGTGACCAGTGCCTTCAAAAGTTTTAAAAAACACAAAGGCAGTTTCTACTGCAAAATCGCACGAAGGCAGTTTCTACAGCATGAATCGTCCGGGAAGACTTAGAATTAACTAATCTTTTCGATAGATCAGCGTAACAACCATTTTTCCACTGTGGTTCCCGTTTTGTAATTTCACTGAGCATACGAAACAAGTGAACTTGTCTGATTTCTCTAGTTGATCACCTGATGAATCATGTGACGTTTCTTGCACTGCTGCCCATTTTGCGCGCGAATCAGGGAAGAATTTAAAATTGCGAAGAGCTTTCTGCTGTCTTCTTTGTCAATTCTTTCGCTTTTTTATCCTGTTGCTTTGGTATATACTTAAGTAATTATTCCCCTCAGTATCTGTGAATAGTGGTGGATATTGTATCCACCAATAGCCACCTCCAATGTGTGGAGAATAATTGTTTAAATTTTATCATTGCAAAAATTACTCGCGCTGAAGCGTAATTTGAAAGTTATTTTTGCCCACTGCTTTGTAGTACAGCCGTATAGCTTTACCGTTAAAAAAATGGAATCCAGCTTCGGAACAATACTGTACATTGCCAATTTGTTTTCTAAAGTCCTAAGAGCTACATTAAATCGGGGATCTCTATTCAAACCTTAGTTGAAAGCGCATTGATGGTCATGTCTTTCGGCCGTCGAAGGAAAGAAGAATTCCCCAGGTATTCTTTCCTAGGCAAGGCTTTTATGACTGTCTAGCCCCTGATGTTCCTCATCGGTGCCTCTTAAACAAAAAAAAAACCGATCTTTGAGCCCCTTTAAAATTTTTCTGCGAAAAGGGGGACGGTCATTCCAAACTTGAGAGGATGGAAATGATTGCCCTGCATCTAAAACGCTAAATTTTGGATGATATTACTAAAAACCGCCACCAATTCTTCAAATAATGGCTATTTTCCGCTAAACGTCACGTGACGTATCACGTGAACTGCCAGAAGCATCAATTCTACTTTAAAATGTTCAGGACGTTAAAACCTAACTGTGTGCTAAATTTGGTTTCATTGCCATTTATGCCTTCAGAAATATAACTAATTAACTATTACTACCAGGAAAAGCATTTTACCCAGGCCTTAAACTACTTGATATTTTCTTCTAGTAATATTTGAGGATAGCTCTTGTGTTAAGTATGTTTTAGCTTTTGAGTTCCATTTTTGCAACAAGTTCCTTGGCGTCGAATTACATACTGTCCTCTCTCGTCTTTGTTATTGTTTTTGTCACTCCGCAAAACTTCTAGCAACACTGCCTTCAGCAATGTGTTAAAACAAACCTAGCGGTGATGAGTATTTTAAATTGTTTTTCGATTTGGTTGGAAGCATTTTGGGAATACGATCCCATTATATCCCTTCATTTCAATCGTCTGTGTTATTGTTTTTGTCACTCGGGAAAGCTTGTAGCAAAACTGCCTTCAGCAATGTGTTTAAACAAACTTATCAGTGATGAGTACTTGAAAATGTTTTTCTCGATTTCTTTGGGAGTATTTTTTTGTGAATACGATTCCAGTATATCCCNCGGCAAAACTTTATCAACAACGGATATCGCGCCTACATGTTGTTATGAAAAAGATTTACAATTTTCCCGACAAATCTGAGCAGTCAAAGTTCATACTTCCGGTGAAAATTAATTGACTTCTTCTTTTCTGCGGTTTCCGGGGTGGAAATAAAAAATTTGCAGAGATTAGTACAGATTCACTTTCTCGTCTAGATTTCGCGCTCGCGGCTACGCCGCGCGCGCTTTTGCTCCTACGTGAGCCTGCTCGCAGGCTAGATTTTACTGCAAGCTACGAACACTCTCATCTAATATCCTACACTTTACCATTATTCTTATCTCTTGCAGCAAGTCCAAATCAGGAAGAGTAAAGCGTTCAGCGGGAGCAAAATACTTTCAGCCTTCTGATGTTGTAATACCTGGAGTTTCTTCTAGCGGTGAGAATACTTGGATAGTTGAATTTGCCGTATTGTTTCCAGCTGTGAACGGGCAAGCTCCTCAGCCAACGCCTCCCGAGGAAACTGTCCAAATGATGCGTGAGAGTCAAAGAACTATCGAGAAAGCTGTTGGGGGTAAAATCAATCGGATAACAACTGGGCAGATCGTAATACCAAGTAAGAACAAAAAACTAGTAATTGTGTCATTCGATAAGTGTGCATAGTGTGGTGAGCGGTCTCGTGCGTTGGCATTTCCAAAAAGTGCAGTAGCAGGAAGGGGAAAATTAAACTTTGCCCTACTTGGAGAAGAGGGCAAAATTTTTCCATTCCTCCTGTGTTATGTTTGTGTTTACACAACCAAACTGGGGGATGGCATTTTCCTGGATCTGCCACCGGTGTTATAGTGTGGTGTTTTACAGTGGCATGGTGCAGGCTACATTGCAAAGTAGTTTAGTGTACGTAGTTTCGAGTAGCGTAACTTACCCGTAGCTTTGTTTCATATAATGATGTGCTGCCTGTAGGTCTAGTAAGCGCTACAGACGTCACAGTTTGAATGCACAAGTTTAATCATACTGGGCGTAAACACGAGAGAAACAAAAGTGATCGTGGGTGTGTGATGTGTGTGTGATGTGTGTGTGATGTGTGTGTGTGGTTGAAAAAACCGTGGCGACTCGAATACTAGAATTTGTACTTCAGGGCTCACACAACAGTGAAGCAGCTAAGGAAAGAACGCGGTAGAAACCAGCAGATCGAACTTTCAGCGCTAACAAACACTGGCCAAAAATGAAAAACACAAAACTGCGCATAAAGAAGAACGCTTAAGTATTACAGAGTGGATTGCATAATTCCCAAGGGTCACGGAAAAACGTGACACCCAAAAGCAAAGAAAGTTCTAGTCGCTACACAGCCTATTGTCCTTTCTTTTTCTTATCTTCCCTATCCTTGCTGAATTTCCGGCTTGCACAGCTTACCGGATATTCGTAACATGTGTTTCCAACTTATTCTTCGAATTTCACTTCATTTTAGATTGAAGAAGGAAACGCTTCCAATTATTTTAGTAAAAGTTGCAATTGTTATGCAAAGGCCCTGACAATTATATAACTAGCTCATTAATGACAAGGCGGTTATATGTTCGTATTATTCTTAATGTATCCATTCAATTACATCTGCTTTGAGTATCCAAGTTAAATTTACCAAATACTCCAATCCGTTGTCTGTCCCTTAGCCTCAGAACTGGATAAGCAGAATGAAGGCGCTAAATTAACCCACGGTAAAGAACAAACTACAATTTGGATTGCTGCTGGAGTTGGAGGGCTTGTTGTCCTGGTGATAATAATGGTGGCGTTTGGTATCTACCGAATAAGGCGGTAAGGCTTTCAAATGCATGAGTCCTCGACGTTCTTGTATTTTTATTCGATCATTGAATGCGCAGATAGAATCGCGAGAGAACTGGACGCCAGCGCAAAACGGAAGACCTGACCGGGTGGGGGTGGGGACCGAGATAAATAGAGGGGTTGTAGACATCTTTGGGGAAAAGTGCATGAATTCCCCGTTTCTCGAGAAACGGAAAGTTCCCATTGGTTGAAAGGCGACAAAAGTGTC